CACGTCATCGCCGCTGAGGCAAAGGAGAGAACGATTTCTGGGGCACCGCTCTCTCGGGGATCACGAGAGACAAACGCAGCGCGGGAAGAACTGGACCGGAGGCATCCCTGGGATCATTCGCGGAACCGCAGGTTTGATCAAAAGGTAGAGAAGAGGAGGAGGAGAAGGAGGAGGAGGAGGACCCCAGGCCGACACGATGCGGCCCAGGGCCGCGGCGACGTCAAGAATCATCGGCGACGCGAGCCGCGGCATCTCGCGGCCGGTCCCGCTCGTCCTGCGAATCACCTGCGTCCTTGCCCTACTGGTGCTTGTCGCCACGTGGATACCAATCGCCGAGGCTGTGGTGAGTGCGAAACGTCTTTCGGTAGTATCACGTATCAAATTCGCGAATTCGTGATAAAGGATATGGAACCCCTTCGATGCTTTTGTCCTCGCGAAAATGATAAAGGAGTTACGATCGAGCGACGATATTCCGACGCAAGGGATGCACGCGATACCGCATTGATTATCGAGAATGGAGGGTGTAGATCGCTCAGAGCGATCGAATCAGGTGGACGGCGCGGGATAGTGGGATCGAATGATGGAAACGTCAGAGTTCGAAGTCCATGCGAATTGGAGAACCGAAAGTTGAGCGCGCGAAAAGATCATTGTAATGAATTTACACGCAGCAAATTTTTATACTCAGATTACTGCTGTTTTTAGAGTAGTCACTTTTGCTGTGATAGTTACAATCGAAATGAATTCGAGAATGTAGACGGCGATTACGTAATCTATTTGTGATAACTATCTCTTCTGATAATCAGCTGTCCATCATGATACCTGATCATCTGTCGTGTGTATTTTTAATGAAAATTTTAAATGATCAAATGGGATTATTTCTTTAGAAATAATGATATTTTGTAATTCATATTTTTCTAAAAAACAATTGTCTTTTTCACTATTAGACATTAATTTTAAAAATAGAATTAAACACGATTTCAACTGCTGTCTGCATTTTGGTCGCCATATTGGAACCGCCATTTTGAATTTCAGGGTTCTGACATCAAAGTCAGTAACCTTAAGATCTTTTAAATAGCTAATTCATTAAAAATGTTTTTTTTATAGTTTCTTTTTTGATCATCTTGTTATTTTTTATGATGTTGATGTTTATTTATTTTTACAATATTATTAAATTCGAAATAATAGTGAAAGTAGCTCAATTTACATTTTACTTTTTATCATTTGGCGAGATGATTCATAAGCGTGAAAATCAGTTGTCAATACCAGAGGCACGCACTCTGAGAAGTATGATAAATTTCTGTAGAAATCACTCCTATGTTAAAGCAAACTTCTATGCTATTTTAGCGTCTATTTATGGTGAATCGTAAAACATATATAATGTAAAAATCACAACCACACTTCGTTTACTTTCGATCGAGATTAATCTCCTCACCCACGTAAATAGACACTTATACGACTTGACATTCAAATTGTATTGTATAATTATATGTTTAATGTTTTTACACAAAATTATTTTATTATTTTCTAAAACAATATCAAAGAAAAATTTAAAATTTAAAAATTAAAATTAAAATTTTGAAAAACTTTTTCTGCTATTAAATTAAAATTTATTCGTTGATACGATGATTTTTAAAATATTCTAGTATATTAATTTAAAGTAGACATAATTTTATATTATTTTGTTATATATTTATTAAATTTTATAAAACACAATTTAAAAAAACAAAAATAATTAAAATCATAAGTAAAATAATTTGGCAATTGAAAAAGAACCTGTTGATCGATCGTGAAATCTTATTTTACATTTCTAATCGACATATGCCACGAATTGCCAAAAATTTTTTTTTATCTTTGATCTTCGAGTTCTTGATTAAGAATAAATTAAGTTTTACTTTTTTTTATTTCTTTCACATTTATGAAATGGCATTCTACTGTCCTATGCCTATGACCCATCAGCTCTCGGCCGTTCCAATGCTAACGAACGTGGGTGTGTTTTGCTAACATAGCGGATGGCGACGACATACCAGAGAAATAGTTTGATATCGCTCCACATCTGGGGCAACTTCTATCGCTCTTAGGTAAGCTCTACGGAGCCTAATTCCAGCCTCTCATGCCGGATAATGCGTGGGAACGCCAAACGAGAGCTTTAAATCGCACTTGCCTGCCTTTGCACTGTGCATACATATTCGTCTGGCGACGAAACTAATCTCATACATCTGTACACGACTATCTACACGTTTCGAAGCCGAAACGATACTATCTTGACCTCGATCATCAATTGTAATTGTTTGACTAATTAGACCTTCATCCTTAATTGCATTTGTTAATCTGAAATTTGTGCTCAATGTTGTAGACAAGGAAAAGAAAAATTGGAATAATGAAACCGGGAAAAAAAATTTGTCAGTTCTTTTGTAATCCTAATAAAATATTGATGATAGGATTACTTTCTATCTCTTTAAATGCATCGTTACAGATTTGACATATATTGTGCTTATTGGAGCGAAAAATATTCAAGATTTGAATTTCTTTTTATGTCGCGAGACGTTATTAGATTATAATAAATCATCTATGATTCGAAATATAGATCGTAATATATATGCTGAATATATTTTAAAGGAACTGAAAAATTTAATAAAAACAAAGTTTTAACTTTGTAAATATCAATTGTACATTTCCAGTAAAATTCTGCAATTTTATTAAATATTACATGTCGAGTTATTACAAAGCATTCATGAATTATTTTATTTATTTTAATTTTATTTTAAAATCGTGTTTTATAAAGTTTAATAAATATAAAATTGTGTTTACTTTAAACTTAATATTAATTAGCATATTTCAAAAATTATATCATATTAACGAATGAATTTTAATTTAGTAACAGAAAAAATTTTTAAAATAATTTTTGATAATGTTTTAGGAAATAATAAAATAATTTTATTTAAAAATATTAAACATACAGCCATTTGAATTATTTGTCAAGTCGTATAAGTGTTTATCTACGTGGATGAAAATTAATCTGGATCGAAAGTAAAGGAAGTGCGATTATGATTTTTTTTTTAATAATGTGTTTCATAATATTATATATATTATTAAAACAGAGGAATTGACAGAAATATTTGTAAACATTAAATTTATAGTAAAATGAAATGTGGAAACGTGATCTTATAAAATATGTGACCTTAAAAATGATTTGTTTACATGAAAGATATATTTATAAAAAAATTATTAAAAACCATTTCAAAATTTCTCATAACCAGAACAAATCAATTTCATGAAACTCGATGGGAGGTAAATGATATAATTCCAATATATAATTCCGTTACAAGCACAATGCGTAATTAACTAATACAAAATTTTGTGATGTATAAACCGGCTCATGTAGAAGGGATCAGGGAGAAGACCGAGCGATGTATAACGGATGATTAAATCGGGCGTGAAGCCGATAGTAATGTAAGAGACCCGCGTGGAAAGCACCTATCAGCATGACTCTAGGCGCCGTGTAATCCGAGAGCCTGAAACTGCAGCCATTTGACGTAATCTCGATGCAAAATAGACGTTACGGCGTTTCAGGTAATCGATGACGATGCGTGTATCTATATGCTGACCAGCAGAGTATGCTTCTCCATTCCGGTTTCACTTTCCGCGAAACGTCAATAACGTTCCAGGTAAATCTTAAAGCGTGCCTTTTAAGTGTATTTGTCAAGAAAATCATAAGATTCATGATCAATTCCGAGATAATGTATAATTTGTTTGCTTGGCAGGATGAGATTGCAAGGAAAATATGGAAAAGGGGAAATAATATTTATTGAATTTTTAATATTTTAATGTTAAATTTTTTTAATAGTATAAAAAACATGAGACATGCACATTGTAAGACACAATATATAATATGTCTTATTCGTTAAATAATTTAGAGAAAATATTTTCCTATTTGTATTAGTAAATTTTTGTATTGGATAGTAAGAAATATAACAATATTCATAATAAGTTGCTTGTTTTATACAAAGATGAATTATATTTACTGAATTATATATATTTGTCGTTGAAGTCACCCGGTAGACAGATACGTGGGCGATTTCGACGCCCGGACAGAGGACGTATTCGTTGCGGAAAATATGAAAGAAAATTTTCGGCACAATAGGAGAGGAGAGCAAAACGGCAGTGTCCAGTAACCAGTAGAGCCACATTTTTATATATCTCTTTTTCTCGAACAGGTCACTCGCTATTGTACCGAAATCATTCAGAATCGTGAGAATCCGAATGAATTGAATCTCCCCCTCACCTTGGTATATCACGATGAAATTGTATACAGACTAAGAGGAACGTATATACAATATACTGTAGAAGTTTCAATAGGAATCTGCTAAATTCAATTCAACATTCATAAGACAGTCAAGACTAGATTTTTTTCTGAGACATTCCTTTATAATTCCTTTTTCTTATAATAATTATATTAATAACATAATTACAGAAACAAATATAATGTAGACATAACTGTTCACACATTCTTTGCATAATTAAGATTATATTTCTATTCATATTTATATTAATATCTTTTTTTATAAGTATTTTTTAGAAATAATGTTACGCAAATAATTTCAACTATACCCACGAGATAATATTATCCAATATTATCTTCTGACTTTAAGTTCCAAAATTCCAGTAAATTTTGTATTGAATGTTTTGAAAGTAGATATTATCTTGTTCTACACCCCCGAACTGTTAGCTATAGCCATTTATTTTCGAGACGCAAGAAATCGGTTGGAGATTTACTTGCGTAGGTTTTTATTACTAAATTATTCATTGCTACGCTTTGTTTAAGTGTTTTTGTCTCGTTCACAAAATTATTTCTTTGTTATACAATTCATAAAAAATAAAATTACATTAGACGTCAGTATACATAAAAAATGCGGAAAAATTGAATATAAAGTATGAAGTAAATAATATCGAACAATCTGTATAAAAAGACGGATGAAATTTATATGTTATTTATGCAACCAGTTTGAAAAAAAAACACTGGCAGTTAATTTTACATATATGACATTAATAGCGTGAAATAAAATACAAATTGCGTCGCGAAAGAGAGGAGTTTATTGTGGTAATATAAATATATTTATAATATTACAAATCACAATATTACGAAATAATTCACAGAAGCTAACCGCAATATGTAGGTTGACAACGAACTGTAGAAAGAATCTGCATGCCTCTGTCGCGATAACGATAAAGCTTTCCTGTTGTTCTTCCAAAGGAGACAATCGTTGCGGGACGATGTGTAGTCCGGATCAAGTATTCGCTTTGCAGACGAAACATGATGAAGCGCTAGACGATCTAATATCTGCC